TGCTTTGAGATATTTGACACAGCTCAATTTAATCAGAGATGGACGTTAAAAAACATCACCCATCTATACTGAAAATAAAAATAACAATAAAATAATGTAAATAACATTAGCACCATACTGTTTACATATTATACAGTTGAACCTGCTCTGACAGCTACCTGTACCTGTACAAAACAATCATCTGTACAAAAAAATACCCTTGCCACTGCCCACTCCTCTTTGTTTTGGTGTGTTTTCAAAACAAAACAAAAAATGACACTGAAACACGCTCACCGGTCTCAGATGGCTACTTTTCTCCCGGACATAATTATGGGTGGCCGTCTCTCTTACACAATTTTGACTGTCTGTGTTCGCAAAGACGTCTCTCGTGACAGTCGTCACCCATAATTACTCAGTCAGGTCAAAAAACATATCATTAAAGTAGAGTGACCTTGTCAGCCAGGTCAAAGTTTTGAACCGAATCGTCTTTGACAAAAATGTTGATGAAGCAAACCCAGAAAACAAAAAGAACATGCAATCCATCCCAACTACTACTACTACTACTACTACTACTACTACTGCTGCTGCTGCTGCTGCTGCTGCTGCTGCTGCTGCTGCTGCTGCTGCTGCTGCTGCTGCTGCTGCTGCTGCTGCTGCTGCTGCTGCTGCTGCTGCTGCTACTTCTTGATAATAATAATAATAAAGATAAAAATAATAATAATAATAATAATAATAATGATAATGATAATATAATAAATATTTATATTTATAAATGTATTATTATTTATATTATTATTATTAATATCACAATAAGGATTATTATTGTCCTTATTATCATGTATTATACTGTAATAATCTTCTTCTTCTTCTTCTTCTTCTTCTTCTTCTTCTTCTTCTTCTTCTTCTTCTTCTTCTTCTTCTTCTTCTTCTTCTTCTCCTCCTCCTCCTCCTCCTCCTCCTCCTCCTCCTCCTCCTCCTCCTCCTCCTCCTCCTCCTCCTCCTCCTCCTCCTCCTTCTCCTCCTCCTCCTTCTTCTTCTTCTTCTTCTTCTTCTTCTTCTTCTTTTCTTCTTCTTCTTCTTCTTCTTCTTCTTCTTCTTCTTCTTCTTCTTCTTCTTCTTCTTCTTCTTCTTCTTCTTCTTCTTCTTCTTCTTCTTCTTCTTTTTCTTCTTCTTCTCCTTCTCATCATCATCGTTATTATTATTATTATTATTATTATTATTATTATTATTATTATTATTATTATTATTATTATTATTATTATTATTATTGTTTTTATTATTATTATTATTGTTATTATTATTTTGAGTATTATTACATTATTCAGTTGAAGTGCACATTCATAGGCATTTGAAACGATTACTGTCCTTTGTCTGGTACTGGTATAAAGTGCAAAACGAAAATAACAAAAACGATACAACAAGAATTACATACAAAGCAACAACAATAATAGCAATATGAACAGCAATATCTTTAACAACAATATCGCCCCTATACAATTACTTTAACGTCTTATAAAATAGATACCCACTACTGATTCATCAGTTATTGCTCCTTTTTCTTCCATTTATTATTTTTATTCCTTTTGCTAGTATCTTTGTCTCAAGCAGGTTGACTAGTCATAATTTGAGAGGTACGGGTAATAATAATAAGAATTTTGTCAATAATATAGTGCACATCCATGGTATACATAGTCTACAGCCCTGAGAACTTAACAACTATTCGTGATTGAACAGTTACTACAGTTCGGAAAAGGAACACACATAGCGATCTAGATGGACATACAGGATCACCAAGAAGGAAGTGTTAAGGAAAACGAGACAGATCCCAGTCAGAGATGAGGTTGGAAGAAAGCGGGGGCGATGGATTGGACATACTCTCAGGAAGTCAGCAGCTGCATAACAAAGCAAGTGTTGAATTGAGATCAACGGGGTAAAAGATCAAGGGTAAGGTCGTTGCGTGGAACCTGGAGAAGAATCACATAGATTGGTGTACAGAAAAGTGGGAAGACATGGAATTACAGCAAGAGTCTAGCCCAGGATAGAGAAAGGTGAAAAATGTTTGTCCGTGGCCTATACCCTGGTGCAGAGTGAGAAAGACAATGATGATCATGATTATAGATAGATAGATAGATCTGTGGTAGATGTTACGTCCAGTACCTACTTTTTATTCAATATTTCCCGTTACAAGTCTCTTCACCCACAGAAAGACATTGTGACGATGTGGTGCCAGACTAAGGTCGCGTTAAGTCACTGACTGGGTTTTTATCAACACTAAAGTGCGTCAATTCCGTTATGCCACCTCTCCCCCTGCCCCCTTCCTTTGCACAGATATAATGGCACATCATACGTGTAAAATACATTGTACTCGTATACATGCACACAATCAACTTCTATCTAAGGTGAACTGTGGCTTAAATACATGCAGTTTCAAGGTCGATGGTAGAACCACTGTCATAGCCAAGCATGTCAGGAAAAGCCGTACATGGAGTTTACATTTATAAATTGTGACGATAATGATGTAAAACACACAACGAAATGAAGCTCATACGATGCTATACATGTAGCATGAAAAGTAAAGTCTTTTAGAACTGGAACGTCTGTTAAACCCCCAACTACGTCTTAATGTGTAGGGAAAGTATTCTCGTTTTGAGTATCATACGCTGCTATGATAATGTTATGCAATGCTTCGTTCTCGACGTTATTAAAACATGCATTGTTGTTTGAAATGTTTCTGACAACCGTTCAACACTGTAACTGTAAGGTTATATTATATATTCGTCATCATCATCTTCTACATCATCATCATCATCATCATCATCATCATCATCATCATCATCATCATCATCATCATCATCATCATCATCATCATCATCATCATCATTGCCTTTTTCACCGTGTGTGGCTTAGGCATGGTGACAAATTAATAATGTAAGGTCATGAAATTTTACTTTCGAAAGGTTTAAAAGCGCCTTGCCTGATTACTCAGGACAATGTAGCTCGTGGTCAATCTCGAAGAAAAACAAAGATGGTAACTGTTGTAAGAAGTAGGAAAACTCATTTGTAATTTCTGTTAGACGTTCATAATTATTGGGCCACAGAACACCGATTATCCCTATAACATAATTCTGGTGGCGTTGTCCTTTGGGTCACCTTTTAAAAGAGATCAAACACTCTTCAGACCTCACAATTAAAACGAAGGTAGCATTGTACATATCTATGACCACGATAAAGCTAGGATTCTATAATCATTTTACCATTGTATCCATACCTTTTTTCGAAAGATTTTCATTACGTTTTAAAATACAGATAACTCCACATCCCTCGTGACTCATCGGAGCAGAGGAAGATAGGACTAACGCTAACATTTAAAACACCGTGACTAACAGAAGAATGATGTGGCGTCGGTGGCCTAGTGGTTAGGCTCTCGGACTCGCAACCGTAAGGTCGTGGGTTCGAATCTCGTGAGGGGCCCGACGTTGTGTCCTTGGGAAAGGCACTTTACACGAATTTTCCTCACTTCACCCAGGTGGGAATGGGTACCCGGCTATAGACAGCGAAAGATCGTGTCAGTTTGTTAGTGTTTGAGCGCTTAATCGGCTGCTCGCACTGTATGCTTCCCGGGAAGCTGAGAATGTTTCGGAGTGTTCTATGGTCTGCTGGGGTAATAATA